TAAGTGTGTGTAAGTGTGTGATTGGATGGTGAATAAATTCTCGACAAATGTGATTGGTCTGGCGTGTGCCTTCCCATGTTATGTCCATTTTCGTGCTTTTCACAGTCATACTAAGAATGCTCTATTTTTTTTGCCTTATTTGCTCTAATGTCAACACAGAGCATTTGAGACTGACAAAAAAACAAATGTTTAATCTGAAAATAAAACACCCAACTCATAACTGCTCCAAAACAAAGGCATAATCTGAAAAAGGAAACATGAAGTCTAAGAGCCTTTTTAGCTCAGTGTCTAGTTCAATTGTTACACTAGTGACCAAGCGGCTGTGAATACACTTAGTCTCGAATTACCAAAATAATCCCCACCCTACACCCCAGCCCACCCCTGTCGTAAAAAAAAGTTACCAATATCATATCTTTTTTTTTGTTGCTTGCATACATTATTTGGCTCTCATATCTGGAAAAAGTATGAATTCTAATTCGCATTGCCTTAACTGAGGAACATTATCAAAATTAGAATTTCGTAATGATTTCGCGTGTTGGCCAAACATAGCCTTTCTATCCGACTCAAAGTGTAGTCAAGTGTCCATTATCATTGTCAGAACATTTATACCGAGAAAGTTTATATTAGATGACCCTTTGCAAATTATTCAAAAGATTMATGTTTTTCAAGAAGATAATGCTTCATTGAACAAATATTAACTGAGTCTAGACGCCATTTCGAAAACGTGGTTCAAATTATGCTTTAATTTGTCGTAAGCAAACTACGAGTTTTAGGAGTTAAAAAACAATCATTGCTGGTTTAAACTGTTCGAATTAATGACGATAATAGGATTGAGCTAGTCCATATTGTATTTCCATTCTTAGTTCATATTTTAACGAGGAATAAACCAAAATTCGACGACCGCGTTGATTACAAATAGGATTGGACGTTAAGTCAGTGTTTTTAACAATTAATGTAACCAGAACTTTTACAGGGAGGGTGCACATCGAATAAAATCGGACCATTGATCGTTTTTTTTATTACCAACTCAGTGCGCCAAAAGAAAGCAGAACCAAAAAAATAAATATAAAAAAGGAGATGGATGAGCGGACCTTAAGCTTTTATGGGGAGGGGGGTGCACGTGCACCCTGTGCTCCCCCCTGGTTACGGCCCTGTAACGTTTTCCAAAAACGACATGATCAAAGATAATGACATATGTTGGTGAAAAAGTGAGGAAAAATTATAAAAATTTCTCACGAGCGCGCGTTCGATGGCGAAGCGATTGCATGATCAAGCGCGCGCGCGCACTTTTAATGAAATGTGATTGGCTCTTAAATTTGTCGAACTATAACWATCCAAATAAWGATAAAATAGAACACTCTATCAACCAATYAGATTCGAGGAAATCRTAAAAGCTATGATTATTTATTTAAAAGGTACYTATAGTCTAATGAAAATCTTGGTTTATTGTTTCCATGCAGAACACTCTAGTTTTACATGGTTATCTTGGTACACGTACCCAACTATATCCATAGTGCTTACCTCAACCATTAGCGCTAAATCTATGAAATGAATTAATTTTTGAACCGTACATGAGTAAACATATGTTTGTATATCATACAATGCGAATACATTTCGTTAGGTTTCGATGTGACTCAACTAGAATTTTTGCAATACCTTGTATAAGACTGCAGTGAGATATCATGAGCCAACATACTCCAGTTTCGAGTTCTCTCTGCTCATCCGTAGTCTCGGTGTTGTACGAGATACGATCACTTTTTATGTACTAAAATCACTCGGCGGATACACCACCGCGCCGATCACTGCAAGTAGGGTTTTCTACAGTTATATATAGTTACGACATCTGCTCTACTTATGTTGTCTAATGTCTTCAACTATTCAGCTTTAATTTTTTGAGGCAACTAGCTGAGACTGTATTTTTCCTGATTTCTGATAGTTTTTCGACTATGCTTGTAAATAGCCATCTTGTTTGCCTCCCTTATACTATTTATTTTTTCTCGTATTTTTCTGATCTAGTTTTATATTAAAGCAGTCACTAGAGCATAAATTACTATGATTAAATTCACCACAATCATCCACAATCGAAATATATAGTCACTGATACTAACGACCATGCATATTTGGAAAGTACTTATCGCAATTCACATGGTGAATGACTCTCTATCAGTGTAAGTTATGGACGTCATATCATCAGGTGGTCCTACAGTCAGTTAGTTTCTGGGCCTGATGCAAACATTGAAAGGTGCTGGTCTCATGACAATACCAAAGCTACTTTCAGTTGGCTCTGGCAGGACTTCTCCCTCAACTTGTCTTAGATTGAATTTCTGTAATATTTGCGAGGTAACCAAAAAAGCCTCCATCTTAGCCAACGTTTCTCCTGGGCAAGAACGATGTCCAAGACCAAATGCTAACATCCCTGCTCCAAAGTCTGCACAAAAATGGCCATTTTCATCAAGGAATCTTTCTGGCTTGAATTCCATTGGACTTTTCCACATCTCAGGATCACGATGTATRGCCCATAGGTTCAATATGACTGTTGTTCCTTCGGGGATTTGATATGGACCAAGACTTGTATTTCTTATAGTCTGGTGGGGTATTGCAAATGGCATGGCGCTGCTGTAACGAAGAGCCTCGGTAAGAAACCCTTGTAGGTAAGGAAGATCTTGACGTTCACTCCATTTGGGCGCGCGGTTTCTGCCAATCACTTCATCCAGCTCACTTTGAATTCTTTTCTGCACATCCGGGTACTTGATGAGATAATACATTACCCATAATAAGTTGGTGGCTGGAGTCTCACTTCCGGCAATWAGTGCGTCATTCATGGTCATCATGATATGGTCGTCGCTCATGGCTACTTGCCCATGTAAATGTTTAGCATCAGCTTCTTCAAGAAGTGCGTTTGAGAGGTTTCTGGCTGAATGCGTCTTTGCATCCTTTCGGTATGCATTCTTTTGTTGCTCATACTTTTTGTCAAGTATTCTGTCTCTTGCTATACAAGCCCTTTTCACCCTACTGATGATGTCAAACGGAAAATACTTCAAAAACGGAAAGGTGTCTAGAAAACTTGTCGCAGCGAGACTCTCYTGAAACACAGTGATGGCATCCATTAATTTCAAGAATTCTGAATCTCCTTCACTGAAGCGCTCTCCAAAAATAACAGAGATTACAATGTTACTCATAGCAAGAGCTGAATCAACGCGGATCGTACTGGTTTCTGAAAAGTTCCCAGTGTTCCCAATACGGCAAATAAGTTCCCGTGTCTCTGTACMAACTATGTCTTCTAGCTCGGACTTCCTTTCAAGTTCTTTCAAAGTTTTCATGACCACCTTTCGTTGTAGTTTCACCATGTCGCTGTACGTTTGAAAGCCAACTCCTTTCCCTCCTCTTGAGAATATACTACCAACATAATGTGGTGGTCGACCAGCGAAGTCTGTCCCTTTTTGTATCATGGCTTCTTTGGCGTTTTTGTAGTCGTTTATAACAATTACACGATTGCTTCCCATTTGTAGTCGGAAAACAGGGCCATACGTCTTGGAAAGCTCATAGAAATCCAAGTACGGTTTGCTGGAGAGCAAATGTAGGTTTCCTATTATTGGCAGAGGAAACGGTCCTGGTGGAAGAGACTTGGACGTCAAATACTCAGAAACCAAAAAGTATATTAGATAAAATGCCAAGAGAACCACGCAAGCCACAAGTAGCATCATCTTAGAGACGAGTCAAAGCTGCCTGAAGTGTTCAAAACAACTGGTTAATAGAGAGACCAGAATAGCAATGAATGCCTCAGTCATTTTTAGTCATGTTTATCAACGCTTTCTGATTTGTTCACGGTTCACTGCTATCGACAAGCACTAGAGATTAATGAAGATTTTGCTCCTGCAAGCCTTACGTGTTTACAAGATATCATTCTGAGTACTTCAATGGGTCAGTTTGTTGAGAAAGCACCATATGACGGTTACTATCGATTCCTGTACTTGTCAATGCACATAACACGACAACTTTTCAAACTCATTTATATGCATATATATGTAACGAAGTCAACATTCAATAAGGTTAATCACTGCCGTGACGGGGATTTCAATATAAAATGGCATACAACTTTTGCTTTAATATCAATATTTTTCAGTAAAGCGCTCTCTTTACTGCTAAACTTAGTGCTAAATGAGATAACCCTGCATGTATACACATTGGCGATAAAATAAAAAGCTCAGGCTAGTTGAGTGCCAAATGAGATGTCAATGTTTACACATATTGTTGAAAATAGACAAATAAGTCAGATGTCATTTCCAAAACGATGAAAACGGTACAGTCCTTTTCTCCCCACCC